ACATGTCAAACCAGGTAAGAAAAAAAAAATACATCCTGCTCAGCTCAATTTTGTCTACTTCAGGCTCTATGATTGTATCTGATGGTTGGGCCGCCTACGGAGGCATCAGAACCCTCCAGAGAGCGTTTACACACAGATGGGTCAATCACAAAGTAAACTTTGTTGACCCCAGCGATCGACGAGTTCACACTCAGTCTATTGAAGCCACATGGGGTGCTTTCAAACGGGAACTCAAAGCGAAATATGGCGTCCCAGAAGATCAACTCGACGGATACATGTCGACATACATGTTTAGACGATACTTCGGAAGAAAAAAACTTCTGAACCACCTTCTGATCGAGATGAAGTATTATAAGAAAGAAGATGACTATGATTCAAGTGAATCTGAAATCTCCACGGATGAAAGCTCTGATTACGACGGCGGTGAAGACGAGTCCGATTCCAGCGACCCGAATCATGGAGACGACGATGATGAAGACGGAACAGATAGTACAGTTGATGATAATAATGGCTATGATGATGATGATGACAATAATGGCGATGATGATAATGATGACAATAATGACTATGAAGATAATGGTGATAATAATGATGATGATGATTATGATGATGACGATATCAAAACGAGGATGAATCAGAGTTTGAGGAAGAGCAGGAGGGAGAGCAAGAAGAAGAACAGGACGAAGAGCAGGACGAAGAGAAGGAGGATGAGGAGCAGGATGAGGAGCAGGATAAGGAGCAGGATGAGGAGCAGGAAAAGAATCAGGAAGATGAGTACGAAGATGAACAGGAAGAGGAAGATCAATTGACTGAAGCACCGACCACGAAAATCTTCAGAAAAAGAAAACAGTTCGATTCTGATAGAGTTTCATTTGCTCCCAAACAACGAAATGAAAGAAACAATCGCGCCTTTACATTTTCAACAGGACAAACCACAATGGCTGCTCGTTTGAATCGAAATAGAAACGAACGTCGAAGTTCTTCTACCGCTTCTACAATGAGAACCACCACCTCTTCTAAGCCAGAAATGATTATCAAAACCAACAGACCAATTTCGTCAACTACACCAAGGCAAACGACGACCAAAACTCGAAAACCTCGGAAGAAGACACAAAGTCGAAAAGCTGATCCTACAACCACCATCACAACCACAGCAACCATGAGGACCACGACCACCATGAGAACAAGACGAACAACTTCCCATCAGTCGAGACGAACCACGACAGAACCTCGTACGAAACGGACGACGTCTGCCCCTGAAACGAGACAAACAACCATCACCACTCAGAAGACTCGGAATGATAGAAGAAGACGCGGGCGGCCCACTACCACCACTCCAAGATCGACTACCATTACTCCAAGATTCACAACCACTACTCTAAAATCCACTTTCACCGGCCGAAGGAAGTTCAAAGGACGCGGATAAGATCATCTTGTTGCAACCGATATTCTTTTTTTTTGTGTTCTGAACTATTTATCCTCTCTAATTCTTATATGCCACACCTTTTAGTCTTATACCTTCTTCTGAATAAAAATCAAAATTACAAAAAAAATTATTTTTAAAACATCAAAACTATTGAAAACATGATTGGAATAAATAAACGTTTCAATCTAACCAAATTTTCAAACAAAAACATGAAAGCTATTCAAATACCCACATCTTTCTTTAAGGACCAGAATTTTTTTTTAAGGACCAGAATTTTTTTTAAGGACCAGAATTTTTTTTAAGGACCAGAATTTTTTTTAAGGACCAGAATTTCATACTAGAGCCCAAATCGCAACCTTGATCATACGGGCGGTTAATGTCTTGGTTGCGAAATGTCGCAGTTGCGAAATGTCACTATATTAACTCACTAATCGCAACGAGATTCTTCGACAGGATGAGATCGTGTTGATAAAAGTCTAGAAGACGTTCGATGGTGTGGAATGCGTTCATCGTCGTCCCGAAGAGGCACTTCTTCTTGGCGGCTCGTCCGTCAATGTACGTACAAACCGCACGCAGGTGATAGTCGAAATTGAATGTCATGAAACAGACACTATCCTGTAACTAGGTAGAGATTGGGCGGGAAATTTGAAAAAAATTCGAGCAAAAACGGTCCAAAATGAGCAAAGTTAACGGTTGCGAAACGTCGCAGTAGTTGCGAGATGTCGCTTTCTAGTCTGTCTGTTTGTCTGCGCCTCCAGATGTCTCCCGGAACCTTAAAACCTAAACATCTGTCTGTCCTAATGTCCCATTGATGTCTTAGAAAGGTCTCCGGGACATCTCGCAACTGCGACGTTTCGCAACCGTGAGATAATACAGACTACAACATCGTTTCAGGGTTCTCAACTATCATTTTTCTAATAGGACACGATCTGAAATTCTAAAAAAAATTCAAAACAACAAGAAGATGGTCTAGAAATGGTCCACGCGACTCGCAGAAACATGTTCCGCCAGACATGCTGGAGCAGTAACCGAACACCTCATGACCTGTTCTGGGACGTGCTTACATGTGACCTCACTGACTACAATAACCTATCTGATCACTGATGTTCCATTGGTATCTAAAAACGGTCTCCGGGACGTTTCGCAACTGCGACGTTTCGCAACCGCATGCCCATTTTGAGCCTAATTTGGCTCATTTTGGCTCATTTTTCTTTTTTTTTAAATACAATCTGTCTTTCTAGATGTCCAGGTGTCCCTCCCGATTACCTTCAACTGATTCGCGGCGGTGTGCAACTCCTCGCTCTCCTTCCAATACAACGCTTCCATTCGATCGACCATATAATAGTCGGCCGACGACGATTTCGCCCGCTCGTACATGTAAAACGAGACGACGAATTCGGGAATTTCGTAGCGGAGATCCGCGAAAATCACGCCGCCATCTAGGGCCTTGTAGAAGACAAGGTACGGTAGATCCTGGAAGTTCGTCGTCGACGTTGTGTAGCGATTCAGCGATTTCGAGCGACGATTCCGGTTCTCCACTTGGAACTGCAAAACATTGAGACGTTTTAGAACCGCGACATTTTAGAACTATGTCATTTTAGAACCGCGACGTTGGAGAACTAAAGCCAACAGAGATAGAAATGGTGTGGTTTGTGGCTGCGCTTTTATGAGAATGATTTTTAAAATGCCGTGGTTCTAAAACGACACACAGTTCTGAAGTGTCGCAGTTCTAAAACGTCGCAGTTCTAAAAAGATATAGTATCAAAATGGTATAGTTCTAAAATGCCCCGCGGTTCTAAAACGTCGTGGTTGTTTCCTTTCAGAACCGCGACGTTTTAGTACCGCGACGTTCTAGAATTGTGACAGTTCAGAACCGCGACGTTCTAGAACCCTTCATATTAAAATCGGATGTTTTAGAACAATGTCATCTTAGAACCGCGACGTTCTAGAACTGGTCACTTTAGACTCGCGACAATCTAGAACTATGTCGTTTCAGAACCGCGACGTTTCAGAACTGTACCTGAATGAATCCATATTTTCTACAAAAGTATCTGGAAAATTCCTCGGCGTGTTTAAACATAATCGGCGAAATCGCCGGCTCCATTGAGCACTCTTCCGTGTCAGTTGGCTCCGGGGAGGGGGCGGAGTCGGGGGTTAGTGTCAGGTCTTCGGGCCGCTCGATTGATGGTTCTCTGCAAAAAAATGGTTGCGAAATGTCACAGTTGCGAAATGTCCCAGTTTCGAAATGTCACAGTTGCGAAATGTCACAGTTGCGAATTGTCACAGTTGCGAAATGCCACAGTTGCGAAATGTCATAGTTGCGAAATGTCACAGTTGCGAAACGTCACAGTTGCGAAATGTCACAGTTGCGAAGTGTCCCAACAAGCTTACTTTTCGACAGTTCGTCGACTCAGCCGTCTTGTCAGCTTACTGACAGCGTTGATCGTCGAACTGAACATCTTCTCGATGGCTCCTGGATCCGAGGGACGTGACGTGGAATTCGATGAGCTGAATGAGTTGTGACGGGAATCGAGAGGGGTTGGCGAGCCGGGCGGATTCGTTTTCCACGAGCGACGCACTTTTCCGTACTGAAAATTTTCAAAAAGTTGCGAAACGCCATAGTTGTGAAATGTCACAGTTGCGAAACTTCGCAGTTTTGAAATGTTTAGATTGCGAAATGTCGCTGTTTTGAAATTTCTTGGTTGCGAAATGTCATAGTTGCGATATGTCTCTGTTGCGAAATTTATAGGTTGCGA